TTGATAAATTTTCGAGATCGATTCTCTCGAGAAAGAAGCTTGCAAAGGGAATTTCACTCGTAAGACAATCTCCTGTTCGTTGTTCTCTCGCGTCACGTCTAAAATTAGCAAGTTCTACACAGATAAATTTTCAAACTGGATTTTCTCGAAAAGAGAGAATTCTTTCCATTTCTTCTTTCTCGCCTTTTTCATTTTTTCGACAAGAAATTACACGTGACATTTGACCAGTTTTGTAAAGCTCCGCTTATATGAAATCGTGTGCGTAATCGCGCAGAGAGTTGCGAAAAGATATATTACGAGAGAGAAAATTATCCAATTAACTCGCTCAAGCAGATCAGAAATAAGAAGAGACAAGAGCACGCGTATCGTTGATTTTAAGATACCGTTGCGAAACGTGTTTTTCACGGTCTACCCGGAAACGTGGATTCCCGCGAAGAATTTGCCGCGTGACGTAGGACCGAGTGATAAGAAGGAAAGGAAAAGAAGCTTCAAGGCGCTGAGCTGTTCAAACGAAAAACAAGAGACGAGAGATTTCGTCGAAATTTTTGAACAACTCGAATCGAAGATCGGATTCTCTAGTAACTACTGGAACATTATACGCGTGTAGTTTGTCACGGAAATTTTATTTGCAAAATTTCTATTTGCCGACACACACGGAGCATCCCTCCTTTTCGCACGAGTCGTCTAATTCTAGAATACCGGCTATCTAATGTCCCTAGCGGACGAATGATCACGTTGACTGCGAAAAGTGCATTTATGAGAGCAAACATGTGACACGTTGTGAATGGACACGTGCTGTTTTTAACCAACCCTGACGCAACTGGTCACGTATTATTTCTGCCGTGGCCATAAATCATAATCATTTCCCACGGGCACGGGAATTTTCAATGATCAACACAGATAGAACTACCGACCGATTGAATCCCTCATTCAAGAGAAGAAACTGAAAGAAACGAGATGACTTTGCAATACTTTATGACGGAGCATAATGCATGATACATTTGTCACGGAAAATTACCTGAACCGCTAAAGATACGCTGCTTTTCTACAAAATTTCTAACGAAAGTATTATAAAGTATTATAAAGTTTATTTTTGACCACTTTTGGTAGTTCTACTGTTGGGAACTACGTTAATTGCAAATTCAAAGGGAGAAAATTGAAGACCAAAAAAAAAAAAAAAAAATAGAGAAACTTTTGTGACACGATGGAGATATACGGAAAATTATTTAAACCTTTAAAAATACGCTCTACCTCGAATTCAACTGCAATGCAATGTCGCGACAGTCAGAAAACTCGCGGAATGATCGTAGTCTTCGTCCTTGCATAAAAGCAAGTGGTATTGAAATGACAGAAGAAAAAAAAAAACGATATTAATAGATCGTGAGGAAGAAGCGCGATAGGGTTTGTGTTAAAGTCCAACGAAACGGACCCGAGCGCTATTTTCCAGAATCGAATCTGCATCGTCGACGCTGTCCGTGATGCCGATTAACCTCCGATCGGTTATCGAGAAAGCTCCGTTATCGACCTCGGTTCTAATGGCACCGCGCGAAGTCCAAGACCCGAAAGATAATCCCCGCGACGAGGCGACGCACTTGCGTCTCATTCGCAGAAAGCTCGTTAACAATCGTTACGTCTACGTCAAGCCCTCGTGACGCTCGTTCTCCGTTCTTCGCTCGTAATCAAACAACTCCGACGAAACACGTGACACCTAGAATACGAATTCCCCTCCCCTTCCCTCTGCCCTGAGCGGCGAAAAAAAAA